TCATCGATTTTGAGTCAATTAGTTTCAGTAGTTACTGATTTATCGCAATTTTCGTGTTTCTGTAAATTTCCGTTGTATGGGAGGTGGGCGTGGCTATTGCCCGATTTCAAAGATTTTCACCAATTTCTTAGCTGGATCCTAAGAAAGGCTCGTACAGAGTTTGGTAAGGATTGGTGAATCGGCTACTAAGATACAGTATTTCATCATAAGTGGGCGGGGTCACGCCCCTTTACCAAAAATTTCATAATATTATTTTGCATTGAAATTCTACTTCACGTACTAATTTCCAATAATTTGGATCCAATATTTACTGAAATATCATAGTTTTTGCATTTTTCGAAAATATGACAAGGGGCGTGGTTACAGTCCGATTTCGCCCATTTTGACCTACCTTGGATAAAGGTATACCAAATTTTGTTGAGATATCTCAATTTTTGCTTGAGTTATCGTGTACACGGACAGACGGACGGACGGACAGACAGACATGGCTTAATCGACTTCTCTTTTCATTCTGATCATTTATGTATACATTTGTCTATATCTATCTCGATCCTTTAGGCTGTTAAAACAACCGTTATGCGAACAAAGTTATAATACCCTGTGCACAAGTGCACTCGGGTATAAATATGGGTACTAAATGAAAGAAAATATTCTTTAGAACTTAAAAATATTAAATTTTTTGTTGTTCACAAGGACGAATTGATATTGAAACTGCCCTTTTCAATATTTAATTTATTTACGCTATTAAAGCAGAAGGACGAAATTCGAGGTTATATATGGTCGTGTGTATATTAATCCTTAACCTATAATTTTTTCAAAAATAAATAGAACAAATTTTCAAGGATACTCAAGGACAAAATTTTAAAAGGAAATCTAAAATATCTATTCGTCTTTATGCACCAAAAATTTAATATTTTATACAGAATTTTATCTTTTATTTGGTTCACATATGGTTATTCTATAAAGCACTTAAAAAAAAATCTGATGTCAGAGAAATAAACTAAAAATGCAGTTTTACTATATTTGGCTCTTAGTTTTGGGTGTTTATATTTTTTTAACTTGATTTTTTGGGTGACTTATGCCACTTTCAAAGTAAATATTTTCGTTATACCGCTGATTAGTAAGACTTCTCTCGAATAAAACCTCAGGGGTTCTCAACATTTCATAGCAACTTTTTTTTAGCAGATACTGTTAAATTCTAATTAGTGTTATCACTAACTCGTTGTTTTTGAAAAGGCCACTTATACCACTTTCAAAATAAACGGCTCAAATAGAATTTTTAAATAACAATAAATAAAAGTCCGTGGCACAGGTTTTCAACCCGTAACCAACAACACGGCAGTCGAACACACATCCGTTAGGCTACAACAGCTGTTGAGATAACGTGAAGAAAACATACTTGAGTTAGTTCTCAAACTTTATTTTGTTTGTGGCTTCAAAAGTACACATCATCCGCTCGCTTTCATTGCGATGCATCTGTTCGTTCAACCGTAGTTGTTAGTCTTAGGTAATGTATTGTTATTTTCACACTGGGTACGAACTAGGAATGTTAATCCCGGGATCCCGGACTTTTTAAGGTCTCGAAAATCCCGGGATTCTTGGCAAGTAATCCCGAGATTTGTAATTTGCACTGATGGCCATAATAGAAACTCCTTTTCTTGACCAGTTTTGGCTATATTTCTTTTTATACCCGAGCGCACTTGTGCACAAGGGTATATTAATTTTGTTCACATAACGTTTGTTTGTAACAGCCAAAACGAATCGAGATAGACATAGACAAATGTATACATAAATGATCAGAATGAAAAGAGAAATCGATTAAGCCATGTCTGTCTGTCCGTCCGTCTGTCTGTCCGTCCGTCTGTCCGTCCGACCGTGTACACGATAACTCGAGCAAAAATTGAGATATCTCAACGAAATTTGGTATGTAGGTTTCCATTTACCCACGGTAAGTTGGTATTGAAAATGGGCGAAATCGGACTGTAACCACGCCCACTTCCCATATAACGGTAATTTTCAGAAATTCGAAAACTGCGATATTTTAGTAACTACTGGAGATTATTCACTCAAAATTGATTTTTACAATAAGTTTTAGACGAAAAATAAGAATATTATAAATTTTTGGAAAATGGGCGTATCCACGCCCACTTATGGTTACATGTGTATAGCTTGGTAACCGCTGCACTGATTTCATCCAAACTTGGCACAGTTGTTGGTCTTGATACAGCATCCCAAATGGCCGAAAATTTTTAAAATCGGACAATAACCACGCCCACATCCCATATAACGGTAATTTTCGGAAATACGAAAACTGCGATATTTTAGTAACTACTGAAGATTATTCACTCAAACTTGATATTTACAACATTTTTTAGGCGAAAAATAAGAATATTATAAATTTTTGGAAAATGGGCGTAGCCACGCCCAGTTATGGTTACATGTGTATATCTTGGTAACCGCTGCACCGATTTCATCCAAACTTGGCACAGTTGTTGGCCTTGGTACAGCATACCAAATCGCCGAAAATAATTTAAAATCGGACAATAACCACGCCCACAGTCCACAGGGTAATTTAGAGAAATACGAAATCTTCGGTAAATCAGTAAATATTAAAGCTAATTTATTCAAAATTGACGTTTGCAACAATTATTTACCAAGAAATACGTTTATGGTAAAATTTTGGAAAATGGGCGTGGCGCCGCCCACTTATGATCACATATATGTATATCGGTAACCGTTCTACCAATTTGTACCAAACTCGGTATAGTTATTGTGCTTGCCACATAAAAGCAAAGCGTTGAAAATTATTGAAATCGGACTAAAATTACGTCCGCTTTTCATATAACGGCAAATTTCAGAAATGGTTGAAACTTCAATATTTCGAAATTTAAGGACGCTAATTTACTCAAAATTGATACATCCCGGCTTACCATGTAGCGGTAGCTTTCGGAAATGTGAAAAATATATATGTATTTAATCCCGGGATCGGAAAAAGCCGAAAAATGAACATCCCTAGTACGAACCCTGTTTATAAATACATGGATTTCAGTTCCAGAAGAACTGAAATCAGCAAAGGCAAATATTTTCTTTATAATTGCTGCATTTTATTAATTGCTTCTTCTGCATCAAAGCAACTGTCAAAAATTTTCATCATTAAGAAGTTACGAATTGGTACAGCGGAAATGTACAATTTTCTCACAATAGTTTTTTCACCATAGAACTTTTCTACCGATTGGCACAGGCCCTTAATTCGAAATGTAAATTCACCCCGATGCGATACAGCAACAACAAGGGACAGGGGTGTATTTGAACGTAAAGCAACTTTTCAGGGGCAGCGCTCAGAGCGTTCCGATCAGCAATGTTATTTTGGCGGTAAGCCAATCGGTAACACTTTTCTCCGTAGTAAGTAAGACGAAGTAAAAAATTTACTATGGTGTACAAATTGATTTTTGCTGTGCCGAATGTAAAGTAAAATTTTGACAGTGCAAAAACCAAACAAAACGCTCCCGCAGAAGCTCTGTTTCTGTGTGTTGTTGAAATTGTTCAAACTTGTTTTATAACTTACAAGCAACGTGCGCTTTTTTTCCTTGTCAGCTTCCATTTTGATTTTCACTGTTTAATACCGCCAAACAATATTATGTATATACATATATAGAAGCTGTCATAATTTTATCTATCCCTATGAGCTAGGTAACATTCTCACGTTCGTATTCACCACGAAAAATGTCAAAATTTTAGTTCTATCCGTAAAATTTTTCTCTTTTCTATCAATTGGTGGCTTTCAAATTTACATATTAATTAAAGTACCTAAAAGCATATACATATCGTCGTTTAAAGTACAAAACCGCGTATCGTCGTTCTGCAAAACCGCGTAACTGACATTTTTTTGCCAAAAATTGGATTTTCTCACCGAAGCTCTTGGTTCAAGCCTTATCCATTCGTTCGGTTTTGCATTATGTTGATACGCGGTTTTGTACTTTAAACGACGATATTTGTGTTTATTCTTTAAATTAATGTACTACACGGAAATTTTTTTCAATAAATTCAAAAGCTTATTTCGTGAGTGGTGAAGAGTAGAGCAACCATGCGTGTAAGAAATTGTGTGCTACCTAAAATTTTACCTCTGGAAACCCTATCGCCATAAAGGACTTTCCCCAGAGTTTTTTTACTGGATATACTGAGATTGGATTAGTGTGAGGCAAGGCACATTAATAGGTTCATTCCTTATCTTTTTGGACTAAAATCTGAATAGTGTCAAAATGCTAGAGCGTAAGCAAAATGCGCTCACTAAAAGAGTATAACAGGAAAAGTAAAGGAACGCAAAAAAACCAAATTTTTAGTCCAAAGAATGGCAACAACAAAGCTAACGTCAAATAAGAATGGAAATTATGTACAAAACACATTCACACAAGCACAAGCACAATAAACACTTACTATATCAATTATTTTTTGCCTCCTTCCAATTTCAATTCACTTTTTAGACTATTCTCACATTTTGCGTATTCTTTAATTTCCGTTAATTTAAATTCAGTTGAGTTTGACACTTTTCAGGATTTTCCAAGAAAAAATTCTTCTGACTAAATCTGACTACTTCGGACTGATGAGAGTCACTCTCACTGAGTGTTGCTCTCTCATTTTTGCTGTCATTTCTGAGTTAAGGAACGCTTTTTGGACTAAATCTGACTACTTCGGACTTTTTCTGACTATTTCTGGGAGATAAGGAACGCTCCTAATGTGTCTTGGTGGGAGAAATCTTGAGGAGAACTTGTATTATACAAATGGTGGAGGTATTTTTTTCGCTATATTTCCATTGTGCTCATATGGTGTGCAATCGAAATTTGTGAAGCTTTCAAGTGCGTACATATGTTTATATATAAAACTGAACCAAATCGAGCCTGTTATTTGTATTTCATACTCTTTAGCACCATTCATAGCTCGTTTTCTAGAAAAGCATACGCGCAAATACTAAAAACAATTGCATTTAAATATATTTCTTTCAGGTCAAACACCACATCAGTGCGATGTTTGCGGCAAAAAGTATACACGCAAGGAACACCTTGCCAATCATATGCGTTCACACACTAATGACACACCATTCAGATGCGAAATTTGCGGCAAGAGCTTCAGTCGCAAGGAGCACTTCACCAATCACATTCTCTGGCACACAGGTGGGTATAAAAGCCAAAAACATATCAGCACTATTGGTCCTTTCCAAAACTGATCCTTCAAGCTCAATCCACAGGCGAAACTCCCCATCGTTGCGATTTTTGTTCGAAGACATTTACGCGCAAGGAACATTTGTTAAATCATGTACGCCAACATACGGGTGAATCGCCTCATCGCTGCACTTATTGCTTAAAAACGTTTACACGTAAGGAACACCTAGTGAACCACATACGTCAGCACACCGGTGAAACGCCTTTCAAATGCACCTACTGCACGAAGGCATTCACCCGCAAAGATCACATGGTAAATCATATTAGGCAACATACCGGCGAGTCGCCGCACAAGTGCACATACTGCACAAAGACATTCACACGCAAGGAGCACCTTGTGAATCATGTGCGTCAGCATACTGGGGAATCTCCACATCGTTGCAGCTACTGTAAGAAGACCTTCACACGCAAGGAGCATTTGACAAACCATGTGCGCCTTCATACCGGTGATTCGCCGCACAAATGCGAATACTGTCAGAAGACATTCACGCGTAAGGAGCATCTAAACAATCATATGCGTCAGCACTCCAGTGACAATCCGCATTGTTGCAATGTCTGCAACAAGCCATTCACACGAAAAGAGCATCTCATAAATCACATGTCCCGTTGCCACACAGGTGATCGGCCCTTTGCTTGTGAAACTTGTGGTAAATCGTTTCCACTCAAAGGAAATCTGCTGTTCCATCAACGCAGTCACACAAAAGGTCAGGAATGCGAACGTCCGTTTTCGTGTGAAAAATGTCCCAAGAACTTTATATGCAAGGGTAAGCGATTTTTTCTGAGTCTATGTATTATGCAAATAGTTGTTAACCTTCATAAAATATCAATAGGTCATCTTGTGTCGCATATGCGTTCACACTCAGGTGAAAAGCCACACGCCTGTACTTTATGTAGCAAGGCTTTCGTTGAACGTGGCAATTTGAAGCGTCACATGAAGATGAACCATCCCGATGCGGTGATGCCACCACCGCCACAGCCTCATCCACAAATCCCAGCCGGTATATTGACAGCGGTCAAAGAGGAAATCAAACCAATATTCCGTAAGTACTTTAATATTGCGAGCAATTTATTTTACAAACTTTCAAAGACAATCTGAAGCTGAAAATATCCGACTGTCACTTGTTCCATTTTTTCCTGGCGAATTGTTGTAACTTTGCCAAACAATCAACTGCAGGTGTTTGGCAAAAAAAAATTACAAATAGAGGAAAAATACATACATAATCCCTTTGCATATTAAAATGTATGCTTCTAAAGATATATAACCCGAAAATACTGCGAATTCGCTTCACAAATATGCTCTTTAAAGTACATTTATGCAAGTTTTATGTGCAGACTGTATTTAATAAATAAACTTTTTAATAAAATGCGCGTCAGCTTCGGCAGCCGTCGGAAAAGGCAAAATAAAATAGCGAAATAGGCAGGAAAAGGCACTAGAAATCGCAAAATAGGCAAAAGAAGGCACTAAAGTAAGGCAAAACCCGAAAAATAATCAAAAAATTTATTTATTTTAGAAATGTTTATTTTATAAGTAAAACGAGAAAAAATATGTACTAGTTTCATTATTTGAAAAATTTCTACTTTGATTCTTTGACTATTATCTCCTTTCGAGTTTTTAACTCACAAAACTTAAATCTCTATAGTTGTAGTAACATTGAACCACAAGATGCATTTTGAAGTTTTCTGGCAGCATTTTCCTTCGCTTTTCGCGAAGAAAATCCTTGAATGTACTAAACGTGCGCTCGACGTGAGTTGTTGATACAAGTGGCGCCCAATTTAAATATGGAACGTTTAAGACCTTCATTTTATCAGGAATAAGGGCTCATTCCTTGCCCTTTACAACTAAAGACCAGTATGCAGCTCTCACGGAAACGGACAAGAAAAAAATTGCTATTATTTCGTGTGTGTGTGTCCAAGGAACGGGCATATATTTCTGTTACAAACATGGGTTGCCTCTTTTTTCAGAAAACAAAATTAGAAAACCGTACTATGTAGAAAGCGTAGCAAATTTCTTGAGAACTGCGTACTGCCTTAAGGAAATTTTACACAGGAAAATTTCTTAGCCATTTCTTGTACGTCATTTTATACGGAGTTTTTGCTTTTCTTGAGTGCTGCATACTGACCTTTAAGGTAGAAAAGGCAAAAAAAAAGCAACGTCAAATGTGTATATCGTCGTTTAAAGTACAAAACCGCGCATCGTCATTATGCAAAACCGCGTAACTGACATTTGCTGCCAAAAATTGGATTTGCTCGCCGAAGCTCTTGGCTCAATCCTTATCCATTCGCCCTGAAATATACTTGTCGGAAATGTAATTGCTTTGTAAAAAAGAGAACCATTTTGAAATATGAGTGTTTTTACTCTCCAGAAAATAATTTATGCAATCTCACATACGCGGTTTTGTATTATCTTCATACGCGGTTTTACATTTTGTTGATACGCGGTTTTGTACCTTAAGCGACGATATATGGAATCAGGGAAAGCTAAATCGTGGACATTCTTAATCGAATATACTCTATCTCTTTAGCAGAAAAAAGGCAATTTTCATAAAAGCCGTTCCCTGCTGATGAGTATCGTATTCGTGCCGGAAAGCAAACAATCGTTTGTTTCTCAGCTCTTCTCGTGCTGCTGCTGTGACTGTTCGTTCTTTTTTGAAGCTAAAGCAAAAGCATGAATATTGCCTTTGAAGCAAGACAACTTCAGAAGCACAGCATCAGCATGTTTTGTTGTTGTTGTTGTTGTATCGGCTACTAAGCCGTTCGGGGCGGTTCATCCATCAACGTTGTCGTCTATTTCAGCTAGGGGGAGGCCCAGGAAGTGTGCTACTTCCAGAGGGGCTGTCCATAGAGACAGGGGCGTTAGCTGAGTGGGATTCTCAGGGCATGTGAATAGGTGCCGGGAGTCAAGTGGCGACTCTCCATATGCCGGGCATTGGTTGGGAACATCTTCGTAATATAAGTCTGCACAAAAAAAAGTTACATACCATTTAAATAAGAGCACCTTTACATGTAAATGTAAATTTTTTAAAAATCTGTTCAAAATTGTTTGAAATATAAGGAGTTTAAATTTTTTTCAGTCATCGACTAGCATTCGCCGCGTACGGTTGTATTTCAATTGCGTTCTCTCTTTGACTTTACCTTCGCACTTAGTGCAGTTTCTTGTAAACAACAAATACCGCTAACTAAAATTCATTTAGCTCATCTTGTTTTTTAGAGTGCCCACGTGCTTTAAATATAGTGTAATTTTGGTTATCTTTAACTATGCCCCTCGGGGCAACAAGCCATGGGGGCAATAGGTTTTCTATTTTAGAAAACAGCCCCAAAGCTAAAAAAAAAGATTATACAAACCCCTTGATAGTTTCCCCGACCTAACACCCCCTACTAACCTTCCTAATCCCAAGTACGTCGTAGTCTCTGCTACTGATGAAAAAAAACCTCTATCTCTTTATTCGTGCTTTGCTGTGCAAAGATCTTTAGAGCTTATAAGCAAAAACATTGAAAAGATCACAGAACTTAGGGACGGCAGCTTATTGGTGCTAGTGAAAGATAAACAATCCGCTGATAAATTCATTTCTGCTAAACTACTACCAGGAATTTGTGAAATTAAATGCAAACTTCATGAAAACCTTAATTTCGTCAAAGGCACGATCTTTGCACCCTACCATACTATCCTTTCTGATGAAGAAATCACAAAGGAGCTAGCCTCCGAAGGAGTGGTAAATGTTTTCAAGTTTACAAAAATGGAAAACAACAAAGCTGTACATACTGGAGCAATACTGCTCACTTTCGACCTATACAAGCTACCAGAAAAAATCGACATTTCATGGCACAAAGCGCGAGTAAGGGAATATTTCCCGAATCCTATGCGTTGCAAACAATGTCAAGAGCTAGGTCACACCAAAAAGCACTGCCATAAACCTGCTCTGTGCCAAACATGCAGCTTCCCACCCCACGATGACAATTGCGCGCGTGTTCAATGCGTCAACTGCGAAGAAAAACACCCATCGAACTTTAACAAATGTGCAAAATTCCTTGAACAGAAAGAAATTTTAAAAATTAAAATTCAGCGTAGATGCACTATGAAAGAAGCAAAAGATGCCTACCAGGCACAATTTCCTAGAGCTTCAGCTCCATTTTCTTTCGCTGGAGTAGCCAACCCCAGCAACAATGATACCACTACACCAAAACAACACAATACTAACAACAAAGTAACTAACGAATTACCTGAAAATAAAAAAAGTAAAACTTCTTTTGACAAAGAAGCAGACAACAACACTTGTGCTTTCGATGAAGCCGCAAGTGTACCAATGATAACCTCAGAAATTTTACCAACAAACCAAGAAACCACAATTACTACTGAAAATAAACAAACAACAATCGATTCGCCTATAACTCGACTGAGTCAGCAATTGATTCAAAACAGCAATTATTACCTATTGCCAAATTCTAACACAGAATTTTCCAACGCAGATTCAGGAGACATCCTGAACGTCAGCTTTGATAATGATCATGGCCTTTAATGTTCTTCAATGGAACATAAAAGGAATATTCAACAACATGAATGAATTACACCTTCTAATAAAAGAGCGCTCACCTTCCATTATATCGCTTCAAGAAACACATCTACCATTCAATAGAACAGCGCCAATTTCTAATTCATACACAACATACTTTTATAACTTGCCAGAAAATCTAGCAAGCAAGCAAGGGATAGCCGTTATGGTTAGAAATGACATACCCCACAAACGAATAGACGTCCAATCCCGATTAGCGACTATTGCTATCGAGGTTAACATGAATGTTAAGTTTACCATCATATCTACGTATATTCCCCCCCAGCAATCGTTTAGCGTAAAAGACCTCTTCGACCTGACATCTGGGGTTAACACAGATCTTTTATTAGTAGGAGACCTCAACGCATGGAGTCCCTTGTGGGGCTCTGAATCCACCAATCAAAGGGGAAAAATAATCGAAGATTACTTGCTCTCAAATAACTTGATGGTGCTAAATGACATTGCCCCAACGCATTTCACAACACACCAGACTTTCACACATATTGATGTGTGCCTATGCTCCGCTAGTTTGGCCCCAAAAGTATCATGTTCTACTCTCTCTCAACTGCATGGAAGTGATCATTTCCCCTTGCTCACCAAAATTCTGTTAGCTAGGTCAAACCCGGGGACACCAAAACCAAAATTCATTATAGAAAAGGCAAATTGGGAGAAATTTCAACTCTCGGCCAATGTAACCATGAGCAAATACCCATTGTCCTCTAATGTAAACAAAGAAGCCAATGCGCTGAAAAAAATAGTACTTACAGCAGCACACTTATCGATACCCCAGACCCACAAGAGAAAACGCAAGTCTGTAGTACCATATTGGTCACCAAACCTTCAAGCGTTAAGAGAAAAGAAACAGAAGCTTTGGCATATATATAAGAAACATAGATCTCCTGAAAATCTTGTCGAATACAAGAAAGCGAACGCAATTTTTAAAAGGGAGGTTAATGTAGCTAAAAGAGAGAGTTTAGAAAAACTAACGGAGGGAATAACACCTTCCTCAGATCCAAAGAAAATTTGGGCAAATATTAAAATGCTGACAGGCACATATACCCCTAACTCAATTAAAGCTTTAGTCACAGATGAAGGAACAATATGCTCCGCGACAGAAATAGCAAACCATCTGGGCGAGTTTTGGTCTAACTACTCCAAAGACTCTAATTTTGATGAAGCTTTTGTTACACATAAAAATATGACTTTAGAAAGCGGTTACAATAACGATACTCCATCGACGCAAGCGAAACTAATTGACTTGCCCATAACAGAATTCGAATACGATTTGACTGTAAAAAACATGTCTGGTAAAACTCCGGGCAGGGATCGCATTTCGTATCCGATGCTTAAAAATCTACCGCAGAAAGTAAAACAAAGATTAATTGGGCTCTACAACAACATTTTTGAACAAGGTTCATTACCACACACTTGGAAAAATTCAACTGTCCTTCCGCTTCCAAAGTCGAAACAATGCACATCACGTGCTTCCGGTT